TGGGGTCCGCAATCTCCTGCCTGTGCTCTAAGTTCCATTTTGAGTCTTTCTGACATCTTGTCTTGTGCACCCGAGCCGAAGCCATGCCCTTTTGGTACCTGTGTGTGAACTCACCAAATGTGCAATAGAAAAATGAATGTATCGTATACATAATTCATGACATTTAAAAACCATTGTCACTTGACAGCTGAGATGATAATAAAATTAGTATGTTCTACCCCCCGCTGTTAGGTACAGGGACCTCCACAGCTTTGTATTGTAATAGTTCTCACAATAGACCACCTGCAAGACCATAAACACCTCTGGTGCCTGGCTCTCCATCCAAAATGTATTTAGAAACCATGTATTTAGAAACCATGACCCCTCTAAATTAACACAGTCGGAACTTCCTACATATTATCAGTAGTAGATATGTACACCACTGCAAAAGGGGAAGCTCTGAGCTTCCCCTTTTCAATGACCAATGCTTGTGGTCATTACCAAGCCCAGATGGCAGTGTCAATTGGTGTTTATGAAGAATGGTTCAACACAGATAAACATTACTCCTAGAAAAGGTGAAACTTGGGAATTTCCATTATCGAAAAGCAGGAGTAAAAACAGTGCTAGTGCTCAAAGGTCCCAAGTGGGATTTATTTTACATTTGCAGTAAATGGGGATGAGGGAAAAGGAAGAGAAAGAAACTACTCTTCACATAAGTATAGGGAGAATAAAAATCAGGATTGAGGCAAGATCCTGGTAAAAGATGCAGTTGCAATTTGTTTTCTGAGTTTTTCTATTGCTCTGACAGGAAAAAAGAAACAAAGCAGCACTATGTGAGGCCTTCAAGAGGGACAGACCTCCAACCTCATCTGTCAGGCTGGTGAAAGTAGCTCTTTTTTGTTCCCTGCACTGGTGTTCACATATGCCCCATTCCCAGTAGGGAAAGGAAAGCTTGTGTCTCTTATTTTCTTGCATAGAGACATAAAAGTGAATTATGATCTTTCTTTGAGACTGTCATCTACAGTGGCCTCTCCATGACTTATCTGGGTGACCAAAGTAAGGCCACTCTTGCAATATATTTCATGTGACCTTTGCAAAAATGCTGAGAATTTGTCCTACAGGCAGTGCATTTTTATTAACAGGTTATTCCACGACTGCAAAGCCGGTACTTGTATAGTATCTATGAGACTTTTATCCTTACATTTGGAGAAGTTTATAAAAAAATCAGTGTCTGTGGGAAGAGGAACCACATGAATTGCAATCAGGGAAAGGCAGGGTCACCCCCTGTTCTGCAAGCAAGCCTGTCTGCACAGCACCCAGCACCACAGTCGCAGGGACCTGCTAGTGCCCATACTGCATCCAGCATCCTGAAGAATCAGCTGAAGGTGCTCTATGGAAATCATATTTCTGCGAGTTTTCCTATTAAGTGCAAGTTTTAGAAACGAAGCAGGCTTGACCTTCACAGTATGCAACACTTTGGCTCTGGGCCTAGCTCTTTTCACATGTGAATGGTTCCTGTAGGGCCTCTTCATGTGCTTAGAGTAACAAACAATTTCAGGACTTAGACCTTGATCTGAATCAAGGGTAGCAGCAACTCCTTCCGAGATACAGAAATAAGTTTGTTGGTAGCAAAGTGATGTGTCTGCTGCATGGACAGAGTTAATCTTCTCTGTCTTTTGACTCTTCATGTTCGTGATGAAACTGCTTTGGTTTGTAAAGGGGTTTGCCCTTTTTAAGGGTACCACTTTCCTCCAATATCGATTAAATAAGCCATCTACTCCTTCCACCTTGGGGGGTTCCTTTTAATGAAACAGTTTTCCCTAGCATTGACTTCTGGCTGTGTATTTCAAACACAGTTGAGGCTGAACTGCTGGATCCACTGTAGCTTATCCTCAGATGCCACTTTGAAAAGCAGGATGGGTCATCCCCCTCCAGACATGCCACTTGCTTTCCTTTCGGAATGGCTGATGCTATCGCAGTTGATCACTCTTGCACAGGACAAACCACCCTATAGGTCATTTCCTCTCGCAGTAATATTCCAACTCCTTTCTGTATATTTTTTTTTCAAGTAATAATCTTTATTATCATTTCATCTGAAGCAGGGGGGACAAGAATTATGACAGTGTCCATACCATACATACAAATTCCTCCATCAACTGCTCCTCCCTAGGTGTAAAATACAGTCATCTGTTAGGAGATGCCTTCTATCTATTGCAACAAGACCTGAATGCAATGGGTATTAACAGGATTGACAGCTGGTCTTAATCGTGATGTACACCAAACACACATAGCTGTGCACTGCTTTTATTATGTGTCTTTTTGGTGTTTATATATGCTTTATTTCACATTTCATTACAAAATCTGCAGAAATATTAATAAATGGGTATAACTGATGGGCAGGCATTACTCTCAGCATTGTGCTGCATGGCAGCTGGGACATGAACTCTAATCTGTGGGTGATGGGGTCTGTACATGTGGGTCTAGACATATGAGATGCCTCTGCTGTCTGAACACATATAGGACAAAAATAATGATGTCAGAACTTCACTAAACTTATAGAATTTATCCACCAGTGTAGTAATATACAATGGGCATTTAGTCAAGGTCAGGTGACTGAAATACAATATGGAAATACAACCTGGAAAACCAGGAATTACATCTCTGTGGATGGTTTCAGCATGGTTGATGGCCATGCAACTGTTCACTTCATGTCCATATTCAAAGAATCCCACTGAATGTGAGTTAACAGGTAACATAGAGAAAAGTCACAGAATGACTGGGGATTTTTAGAAGCTGTTTTTAGAATTCTCTGATCCTCTTTCTATACTTTTATTTCAGAGAAATTCTGGCGTTTCAACTATATTTTGCGATGAAAGTGAGACATCACCCACATCTCGCTGCAGTGAAGAAGGTAAAACAAGGCTTTCACATACATTTTCATACTATTTTTAAAGAGACGTGCAAAATGTGCTGTTTAGGGGAAGTGCAGTGTCTTTTCTTGATCATCACAAAAGAGTTTGAAACTGCCTCCTCACCCAACAGCAAAGTACAGAAAAAAAAAGCTAAATTATTTACTCATAATTATTGTGTTCACTGAGAAGCACTTACTGCAGGCATCTGGCAAAATACTGCAAATAATTCAAGATACCCAAATTATTAAAACCAACACCACAGATTAACCATTAACTAAACTGCATTTTCAAGCAAGCACTCATGGACAGCCGAGCTCACCAACTCAAATCCGCTCTGCAGCCCCTGACCCTGCACTCAGAATGCACGGGTTGGGCCAAGCTCTCTCCTCCGAGCGCCGCTGTCGCTGAGCGGGGCCCGGCTCGGAGGGACACCCCGGCCACCCGGGGCCAGCGAGGCGTCCCCAGCAGCTGGTCCCCGCCTGAGGCTGCGGCTGACCCCGCGCTTCGGTTCTGCCGGCTCCCCGAGACCGCAGACCAGAGCAGCGCCCGACGAACCGTGCGGGACGCCCGCCCGCAGGGGCCCCGCGCCGCGGCCCCACGCTGCCTCCCCGCTCCCCGGGAGCCCGACTCCCGCCGCCGGGGCAGGTGCCGCTTGGCCGCCGGCCCTGGCCCGCTCTCTCCCTCGCCACGGGTGCCAAGCACGGAGAGCGGGTCCCAACTCTACGCCACCGCGCGGCGTCCCCGGCCCGGCCCGGCCCCGCGGAGGCATCGCGCGTTGGCGGCTCCGCAGCGGAGCGGGAACTGCGCCATCGGCCGGCAGCTTCTCCGGCCCCATCTCGGGCTCCGCCGGGGGATAGAGGAGGCACCCCCGTGCTGTCGAGGTCGGCGGCCGCCTCCGTGGGCACAGACGCTCTGCCCGCCGGAGCCGAGCAGCCCGAGAGGGTTCCTCTTCTCCCACACCGGCACCGCCGCGGGGCTGGAGCAGGCGGGAGCCGGGCGGAGGGAGGCAGGGGCGAGCCGCCGGCTGCCTGGCAGCCCCGAGCTGGGAGCGCTGCACCCGCTCCGGGCCCGAGGGCCGGTCCTCCCCGCCCCAGGCGGGGGAGCGCGGAGAGCCGCCCGCCGCAGCACGGCCGGCCCCTCTGAGCCTCTGCTGCGGGGCTGGGGGTGCCGGCGGAAACCGGGGCTGCCCCTCCCGGCGGAATGGCGGAGCGGCCCCATCGCCGCTTTCGGGGGATTCTCCGAGAGGAAAAGGCAGGGCGGCTCCGGGAGGGGGAAGCCCCCTCGGCTCGGCTGTTCGCATCCCCGGCGTCGCTCCGCCTCCTGGTGCTGATGTCAGCCGCGGGGAGGGCCGGTTGGCGGCGGCAGAGCGGGGCGCGGGCGGCCGCGGCAGAGCCGAGCCGGAGACGGAGGAGCTCCCGCCGCCGGGACAGCGCAGGCTGCGGGGCGCCGCCGGCAGCGAGCCCGCGCCCCCAGGGCCCCGCAGCAGCCGCGCCGGGCCAGCAGCCACCCGCGGCGGGAGGCGGCGAGCGCCCGGCGGCTTCCCCGCGGGGGACCTGGCGTCCCGCAGCCGCTGGCCAGGGAAGCGCTGCCCGCGGAGCCGCGCCGAGCTCAGAGACCCCCGCGCAACTCGGGTTCCGCGGCTGGACCTCTGAGGACTGGCGTGGGGCTTCCCGGGCGCGACTGCGTTTCCATCCTTTTGCGGCTGCAAAGGCAAACGATTAACTAAACCCAAAAGAAATAAAACAAACTCAGGCTCACCTAAAAGTTAGGAGACCTCTCCCCTCCCACCCTATTTCTTTTATAATCTTGTTCCCTGTGTGGAAGTCGCTTATGAATCGTGCTCGGCACGCTGCATGGGAAGAAGCAGCTTGTGTTTTGGATCGAGGATTTGCTGTTGCAAAGCGGTCTAACTTCCATGCAGCGGGGCAGCCTTCACTACTCTAACCGCCTTGATGGTGTGCTAAGGAGCCCGCGCAGATTGGCATCTTGTGCAGAGAAGGCACTGAAGGTAAGAAGGGGCTTGTGGAAAAGAGGTGTTTTTATGTTATTTTATATGGTATTTTTTGTCCAGCATCCCCCTTTCAGCAGACCATCAGCAGTATCGATAACCAGATAAAATGCAAGTCTGCTCCTGTGAAAAGTACGCGGGGCTCGCAAGTGACTGCAGGAGATAGATGTGCTTTAGTCCGGTACGGCAGCGTGGCCGCGGTCCATGCTCCCACAGCGGCCAAGACCTGCCTCCGGCTCCGGAGCGGGGGACCAGCGGTCGCGGTCTCTGCCGGGCAGTTTGCGTTGGCTGCTGTGTGTGGTTGAACGTGTGTGTACCCCATTGCCGCCCCAGAGCATCCAGCGCCCTGCTGGAGTCGCTGGGGGCTGCAGATATAGTGCCTAGTATTAATGAGCGAGGGAGAGGGGTGGGAAAAATCCATATGGAACATTTTATTGATGTGATCGTAATCCTGTAATGGAGATTGCATTAAATGAGGATTGCATCCTAACGCCTAGCTGCTGTGGAGAGACCGGGAAGCAGAAACTGTGCTGGATTGTAAATGAAGTTCTTTGATTGAAGGATTTTCTTGAACCATGAAGGGATGTCTGTAAGCTTAAAGTTGCGGTGTATGTGGAGTACCAGAATGGGATAGAAACCAGATCAAGCTGAAATAGGTTTTCATGTACTCGGGCTCTGGATACAGTTAGAATTGTTTAGAGGCATTGCAGTGATGGCCAATGAATTCTTGGTTTCATATATGGAGACCACAGCAAGGCAAGGAGGGAGGAAAACACGGCAAGGCAAGGAGAGAATGTTACCATTTGGGAAGAGAAGGATGGTTTCTTTGTGACTTGTGCCATAATGGCACAAAGCGCACAGCCTGCAGAACCCTTGTAGGTGATCTGGGAAGCAGAGGATTTATCTCACTTGCCTTTTGCAACCTTGGTGTAGCTTCCTGCAAGAAGTAGCTGCCAGGTGTGCATCAAGAGGCAAACAGGGACTCACCTGCCCCTCTCGGACAGCAAAAGGAGCTGTGAGCTTGAAAGAGACGAACTTGATCCCCCTGATCCCCTCTGTTTGAGCCTGAGTTGGTAATACATTTTGAATCATTGTTGCTGCTTATCTCAGTTGGCAAAGGAGGGGAGAAGATGTTGAACTTGACTGAAGCACGGCAGACCTGAGGTAGATATTATGAATTCACCCTTGCATTCTTTTTGTGCTAATTTTTATTCTGGCGTGGAGAACTGAGCCACAAAGAGCACCTTCCTCAAGATTTACCAAAAGGAAACCTGATGAGAACAGAAAGATTAAGCCAAAGCCAAATTTTAACGCCATCAGTGGAAGTGGCATTGACCTGTCAGATCACACAGGTAAAAAGATGTAAGGTAGGAATAAAGTTACTTGTTTATTTACTAATGTTACTCCCTCCCCTCCCCAAGTTGGCATGCAAAGAAACATCAGAGTGGGAAAGCACCATTTCTTAGTCCTTAAGTCCTAACTAATGTGAGCAGCAGGGTAATTTCTGTGGGAATACTCAGCAGCATTTATCTGTAACTGCAAAAGAGCTGGTTAAATCCCAAATAACAGAGAGGATACCAAACCCAAAGATCTGATGTTATCAAAGTGATCTGTTCTCCCATTTGAGTTGTGTACAAAATGTGAGGTGAGAGCTCCACAGTTCAGCCTCTCTCTTGCCGCATGTTTGGCATGAAGTTGAGATGGAAACACTTATTTTACATAAAATGAGGAAAAGCAGTGTAAGCGCATTGAGTTCCTCTGAAGCATTTTATTTTGGCAAAAGATGACTTTTAGTGAATTGTAAGAGATGGGTTTAGAATATTCATGGCTAAACTCCAGGGAGCTTAGTGTTAGCTCAGTAGGCAGAAGGTTCTTCCTCTAAAGAGATAGCTGGAAAAGATGTGTTTAAATTTCAAGCCATATTCAGTTGAGACTGTTGATTTCCACGTTTTAATATAATTTGTTATGCTTCTTAGGGGAATGATGCTTAATCTGGAAAATAAAGCGAGTATTCCTAGCTCACTTTTTATAGCAGGAGCAAGCAGTGTGCTTTAATTGTACTTCTGCAAGTGCAAATGTTCCAGATTTGACTGTATTTTTTATCAAATAGCAGCTGAGGAAAATTTGTCTTTTGAAACCATGGTTATCTGTGCAGATCTTGGTCTGCATTTTGCTACAGGAGAATTCTGCTTCATGGCTGCATTGTTCATCCTTGCAGCATTTCTTTAAATGTGAGCCTTGCTACAGTTAAAGGATAATTTATATTCAGTGTAGTAGGGTCTGCTCAGTGGAACTGGCTTTATACATCACAGCTTCTGCAAAAAAGGAGATCAAAGATCTGAACCTGTGGTCCTGTATTGCATTTGTATTCTACATGGACTTGAGTAATCTTATACTGGAGCCATTCACACTCCCATAGTTAAGGATATGTCAGTCATTCCATTAAAACACCCATTTGCTTAGTGATTTAACAGCTAGTTTTAAAAATAGGCGCTAAGCTTAAGTTAAACACATTCACATAGTGGAAAAAAAAAAAAGCTATCCTAAGCAGTGGAGTTAAAATAACATTTGGCATTTGCTAATAGAGCACTGTTAAATGGAATTTATAGAAAGCTCAGTAGAAAATAATGCCTGCCTATAAAATTTAGAGATGAAAAAGGGGAAAAAAATCCTTTCATATTTAGGAAGCCCCTTGTGGATCCAGGTGAGTGCTTATACCTGGATTGTAAAAGGGCCTGAGATTGTTGAGCAGGCAGTAGGGCTTTTCTTAAAGGAAAACAGTGCTGGCTCAAAGTAGGGGTTAGTCATATCTTAGTTCAATGGTTCAGTTTCGGATTGCATTAGATCCAATGCCATTGGCACTATTCCAGTTAGCTCCTTTGGGAGTTAAGTCACAAGAACAAGAAAAGCCCCAAGCCCTATATCTTAACCAGTGAAGTTCTCCTTTCCCTAAGTGAAGTAGAACTACACATATTTGAAACATGTCGATGGGATTAGTGGGGTGTTCAAAGCATTTGGGGGCTGCTGCGGCTGAAGAGAGCCAGAGAGAGCACCTGAGAGCAGCCGTTGTGGTAATCATGCTTGCCACTTTACACAACCTAAACCTAAGTTTACACTTAAACACCACCTTCTCTTCTACAGCATCCCCACATCTTTGACAAGTGCCTATCTCAGTTAGACAGCCATCTCCTAACAGTGAGGAGGTTGCTTCATCTGTGCAATAAAGTGACTGTTTACAGTAGCTTTTTGCATATTTCAGGTTAGAATTTAAAAGACCAGAACTAAAAATACATGTGAATTCAGTGTTCCAGTTGCACGTGTTGTCTGATACCTATGTTCATGAAGTGGGTTCAAGATACAGATTGCTGTATTCCAAGTATTTTGGATGGGATGAAATAAATGAGTATTATCTGAATGAAAGTTTTGTCATTGAACTAAAAAATCATAAGAGGGATAATAGGCATCTGTCCCAATTCCCTCTTTCTGCAATGAGGTCACCGGGAGGACATTTGGAACACTTGTCTGTCTTTAGCGCAATGAAATAGTGGTGACTGTATCTTTCTTGGGTCTTCGGAACATTCATGCTCCTTGCAAATATACAGGCAAGTAATATGAAACAGGAAATTTCGGGTGGAAATGGGAATTTGATTATCCCTTAAGATCTGTGGGGAGACTCCCATTCTCATTATCCAATGGTAAAGTAAGGAAAAGAGGTTTAAAACAGTCTTTTTCAATTACGGTCTCTGAATTAGCAGTGACTTGCCAGGAAGCATAAAAGCTTCTATAGCTTTTGCACATGTAAAAGCTCCACTGAAAGGAGTTTAAACTGCCCTTAAATTTGTCTTTAAGATGTTATATTGTGAATAAGAGTGGGATTAGTGGAAAATACATTTGGAGTGATAATAACAGTATTTCCTACCTCCGGTGCAGATGAATAAAGAGAGATATAACTTTTATTTTTAAAGAAAAATTCACTGTCCCATTTGAATGAAACCCCACCAAAGCCGCCTCACTCGCATAGGGGGCTTCATGAGCACCAGGGAGAGTTAATGTAAAAATTAGAAATCAGATAAAAATGCCTGTGGAACTTAGGCTGTAGATACAATCAATTCACAGTAGTTTCGACAGTAAATAAGGAACTATAAAAGTTTTTTCTGTACCTGGGTCATAATGAAGCATTCTTTTCATGTGAAGTCTTTTGTCATTTCCTTTAACAAATATCCTGTTGAAAATTATTTCAGATACACTTAGAAATCTCACGTTTTGTCACAGACTACGTAAGATTCAGCATTCTTCATCCAACGTAGCCCAAGCCAAAGCTTCCTGCAGTCTGTGGGAAAATTCCTATTGGAACAGGGCCTTCCATAATTGCATCTTGCATTACGTGAAATTTTGCCACTTGTTCGGGAGCTTGGCATGTTGATGTGGGGTAGAAGGTGTTGCTGTAGAGGAGTTTTGCTTGCAAGGATGTCAGAACTTTGCTGGTTTAACAGCACTAACTTTGCACGGAAGTTCTTTTGATATGACTGTTGTTTACCTTCAGTTAAGCTGCGATAGTCTCCTTGAGGATTACAGAATTTCAGGGGAATCTACATCAACAGATCAGCAGTGAGCTAAATATGCTCTCACAGGTGAACATTGAAGTTATTGGAGTCTTCCAAACTCAGCAGTGAAATTACAAAGGTGGTATTTAAAACCCATCACTGTGGGGTTTAACATGGCAGTGTACTGTGCTCAGAGACTTTGCCTGCCTCATCCTCCTGCCAGGGGAGCATCCTGCGCTGCGTACTACTTTGATTTGATCTGGTTATTTTGGAGATGTTTTTGGTCTAGAAATAAGATGTCACTGGTGATGTGCTCTGTTTGTATATCAGTGTTTACCTCTTACAGCCTTATGGACATGGTTGTATTATTTTTGCAGGAATTTAATTAGTAATAATGTGTGTTTTATGCTGTCTACTGAAGTAGCATGAAATCCATGCTAAAGGGGAAAAAATGAAGTAAAAGTTTGGAGCGCTTTAGGCACAGCAGGTTTCATTTAACCTGCTACTAACACCATCATTGTTATGGCTCTGTGCTATCTTGCTAAAGAAATAAATGTGTATGTATGGAAATTTGTGTTCTACTGGATCTGTGATCACATACATGGGCACACTGAAGCCAGTTTTGTCTCCAGCTTTAGTTCCTGGCACATACAATGCACACATATCCACCAAAAGAAAAGTAAAAAGTATTTAGGGGGTAACAGAACTGAAGGTGCCATTACAATGTAGCATAGGGAACAGTTATAAACCAGGCATGAACTGCCTGCCTTTAGCTGTAAGGCCGATTTCATTAGAAGGTCACATTTTCTGATAAGCCTCCTGAGAAAGGAAGTTTCATGCCTTTGGGGTGGAACTGGGTTTTATCTCTGCTACTGGAAGTCACAGTTTATAGTCATTTAAGCAGGTTTTGTGGTTGCTTTTGTAATTATAAAAATATGGATCTCCTTGGTTTTTGACAAATGGGCATGAAACTGTGTGTCCCAGCAGGCACATGGTTACCTGGATCGTTGGTTTTCCTTAGGTATGCTGGCAGCTTCCTGAAATGGAGCATAGCTTTCACAGGAGTCATTATGTCAAGGTGAAGGCTGGTTTCACAACCTGGGAAGAGATTTGCTTGGCCCTTGTATAATGTTTATGATGAAAGATCTAGACTTGACTTGTTGATGTTAGATAGCTGAAAAGTGTGCCATAGCATTCTCTAAAGAAAAGTCCAGAGCAACTCCAGTGTTTGAAACTTCATTAAATAGTGATTTAATAGGAACTGTAATGTGAATATATAACTCTGAACTCAGATAATTTGGGACCTCACTGTAGTAGTTTGTTCAGATTACAGTTGCTGCCAGTAATTTATAAATACATGCAAGATAGAAGGCATGAAACTAAGGCTATCATTAAATGGAGTAATGGCGTTACTTTGTCAGTTATTTAATTGACCCTTGGAAAATGTACATGGCAATGTGTTGTAAATTAACATCTAGCATACAAGGCAACACAGGAATAATGTTGGGAATGAAAATTGGGAATGACATGCATAAATTTAATTTTCTCTTCATCTCCCTGCCTTGTCCACATGTGAGACTTCACCAGAGTGAAGGGACTCTGTGCAGGGTTTCATAATGGTTTCCTGTAATCAGACTGCTACAAGAGACCAGTTAAGTTTATGTCAGACAAGTATGTGTCATGTCCAGTTATCAGAGAGTTCTTTTTAAAATTCATATTCAGGAGATCTGTAAGTTTTTGACTCACCAAAGAAAACTGGATATCAAGTAAATCAAAGGGTTTGTTGTCCTAGTTCATTGGTTACAGTTTTCTCAGACAACTAA